CTACAACAACCACCTTGGCTCCTACAGCAACGACGACAGCTGCACCTACGACAACCACGACTCCCGAGGAAACCACCTCCACCACAATATCAACCGGAACAACGGCAACGATTCCTGATGTACCAACCACTACAACCACCGCAAGGAAGCCTTACTACGGCAAGTACTCCTACTACGGCAAGTACTCCCACTACGGCAAGTACTCCGGTGGTCGCTGCGAATTTTGGTGCAAGCTTCAGCCGAAGTTCACGTGGAAGTTAACGCCTGGCTGTAGAGGTTGCCACGACAAGTCGCTTGTTGAAGAGTCAGCAGCAGAGGAGTGACAGAAGAGCGCGGAAAGAGAGCTTCCGAGGCAAAAGATCTCAGGAGCTTAGCAGGCCATCTGGCGCCTCCCGGGCGGCGGGGCGGTGGCCTCTTCTGCCTCACAGACAGGCAGGAGGGTGTGTTTTGGCGATCTTCAAGCACATGTCTGGTAGATCGCTTGCTGGCTTTTCGGCACATGCTTGAGTCATGTCGCCGAACCGATGTACCACCGGCCGATCTGCTAGTACGATGCTAATGGCAGAGCCCGACGGGAGCTCTGCGACTCAGTCTGCGGACGCCTGCTCCACTAGGCCAAATTCGTCATGTGGGCGCGCAGCCTGAAAACAAGCGAGCACCGGAGCCCTTGCCGTAGGTTGTCTTCTGATATCCTGTGAATGCTTGCGAAGATGATTGTTCGAGGTCGGGGCTGCCACAGAAGCGGTGCGCGGTCACACCTCCAAGGCTTCCAAGGAAGGTCTCCGGCTCGGTCCGGTGCCTTCTCCACGTTCGACGACGAAAGATGTTGCTTCTGCAGGGTGCGCCAACTTTGAGGGGTTGTACCAGGCTTCGTGGTGCACTGGAGATAGTCTGGATTGGCGTGGGTGGGGATGTGATCAGGACAGCGGCGGTGGGGTGGTTGAGGCCTATCTTCGCGCAAAGCCCTACCGCATGGTGCAAGCAGCGAGCAAAGTGGTGGGCCGCAGGTGTCGCAGAGGAACTGCAAGATCCAAGCAAAGAGCTGCTCTGAGCTCTTCCAGGGCCAAAAAAACGCAGCGGGAAGTAGCGGGGCTCTGTTTCAGGAATGCTGCGCAGCGGTGGTCCACGGATGCCAAAGCGGACGGCATCCAGGTGCCTTCTAAAAGCAGATTGCACTCTGGCGGCCCTGGCATGCAGCAACTTGCTTCTGGTACTGCACTTGAATCGTCATTTCGTTGCATGGTTGCAAGCGCAGGTGTTTATGTGGGATGTTGTCGGGACACTCAGAGACGGTTTCATCTCCTGGTCGAACCAGGCAACCTGGGTCAGAATCCCAGGAGAGGGCAAAAGGCTCATTACCTGGCTTGTGGTGGAGCTGTCTCGTTGTTCAGGTCATCCTGCAGGATGCCGCTGAAGCAGAGAAAAAGGTTTTTTTGGCCGTTTCGCTGTCATGCTCTGTGCGGACATGGCAATGTTTGCATCTTTTTTGGGGCTGGGGAGGGGGCGAGGCCGGGCGTTCTCCACCTTGCGTGTGGCAGGGCGATGCTTGGTTTGTTGTGCTTTTATGGATTGCGACTGA